TTTCAGCATTTAGGGCTTAAGCATTTTTGGGGCTTCGGATTTCCGTTTTTAGATCTAGATTCAATAGAGGCTTATGTGCTGGAGTTTGGGGTTCAAAGCTTTTGGATTTAAGGTTTAAGGATGTAGGGGGCCTAGAAAAGGGCACGGCAGAAATGCGGGGACTGCCTGTACAGTGTAAGGTATGTCCACTAAACTCAGCTTAAATGTAGTGGTCGAAATAGTTGCCAAGAGCATACCCTTTATCGTCCCTTCCTTCTGCTTGCAGTATTGCAGTAGCCCTTTATAGTAGCCCGTTAAAGAGAACCCCTGTAGAGCGTCCTGAATTGCTCTGCATCCGAAAAATCTCCCCGAACTCCACAGCCCCGGCGTTTGCCGGGGTGGGCGCCGACAGGGCCCCAGATGGCTCTTACTGGTGCTCTACAGAAAATCTTCTTTAAAGACTCTTCCGTAAGACTCCTGCAGGACTACTCGCAGTTTTTACTCGTAAATATGAGATGTTTCAGACAACGGTATTCTATACTGAACTTAGACCCCTAGCAAAAATTTTAATGTTAGCTGCTTCTTAGGGTTTATAGTAGCCCAAGATTTAAAACTATTTCTAAGTACCCCTAAGTATTCGGGGTGTTGGGTTTGTACATCCTTCAAGATAGATTGAAGCCTCAAAAACACCCTATATAAACCCTAAAACCGGTGTGCTTCATGGAGCCTGAAAAACCCGACAGGGGCCCGGCATAGTCGGCGGGCCAGTGCCTAGAAAAGGACTAAAAGCTTGAGGAGGTTTAGAGTTTAGGGCTTCTGGGTGCGAGGTTACGGTTGGGGGGCTTTAGGGGTTGGGGCTGTGGGGTGGGGGGGGGGGGTATGGTTCGTCGGGGCGGTACGGTTTGGGGAGGGAGGGCTTGTGGGTTTAGATTTATGTTTTATGTTGGGGGGTGGATTTAAGGGGTCCTTCTCTGACCCCAAACTAAGAGAGAATCCCTTAACCCCAACAAAACCCAACACCTGAAACTCAACACGAGTCCATAAACCCTAGACTCGACACCCTAAACCTGTTAGGGTTTGGGGTTTA